TTTCATAATTAATTTATATTAACTAATAAAGAATGGCTATTCTATAATATACACCAGATACACAACATTTTACTAGCTCTAATATTGTTCAGATACACCAGACTTTATTAGCTCTACTATTATAATTGTGGAGTTACACCAGACGTAGACGTCACTAGTTCTTATATTGTTAATATACACCATACTTCACTAGTATTTATATTGTTACGATACACCAGACTTTAGTAGCTCTAATGTTGTTCAGATACACCAGAATAGCTCTAATATTATAGGTAGATATACTAGGAATGATAGAGGGGGGGGGGGCCAAAAGTCTCGTTACACGTGTTTAATATTTGAAACCTGTTATTTTGCAGATGGCATTATGTAACTATTCATTCGAGGAGTCTGTTGTCAACATTCGAAAATTCGAATATTTCAGACAATATTAAATCCCAATAATGTTTTATAATGATTTATTTTTCAGAAACTCAGCAACCGCTGCAAGAATTGGAATGCCGAAAATCATTTGAAAATTCTCGTCGATTATATGTGGGCCATGCGTTTGATCATCTATGGAGATTGAGGTCACTCTGATTTAGTTATTGAAAAGGAAATGTAAAACCAAGGTATGTGATAATGATATATGTTGCAAGTGACCATGTGGTCAAGTATTCATTTCTAACCTCCGGTTTGTGCTACCAAGCATTGATTCAGTCGATATTGGTCGCTCTGCATGTTGTTTTAAGTTACTTTTCAAATACATCCAATGCTGGATTATATTAATGAGCTATTCATATAAAATAAATCCTTTTGGGTATGCTTAAACAAATCTTTACGTATCATGAATCATCTAATGTGACTTAATATATTTCAGGAGACTGAAGAAATCCAAAGATAGAGCCAAAAAAGACAGTCAGAGGACCAATTTGATTAACCTTAACAAGAAGAAGGCCGAGCTGGATGAACAGATATTGCTCCGCAGCTCGTTTCCTAGACCCTACTTCATAAAAGTATCCCCATCCTCAACAGAACCTCAACATACAGTAGAACCTCAACCTCCAGCAGAGAAAGACAATTTTGAGTATTCCCGACGAAAATGGTCAATTATCAGATTCAAAAATTCTCAACAATAGTCATGATCACCCAGATGTTCTGCCTAGGGTGAATGCCACTAAGTATTCCGAAATGTGTTTTATGAATAAGCTAGATGGTATATTTAAATTGTTTTGGTAAGAACGTGCCAGTAACTGAGCCGCATAGGTATTTTAAAGGGATTAGATTTATTATGTTTTGTTTTAGAACCATCTACTTCTGAGCTGCCCTGTCAAAATTAAAAGGGTGTATAGGTTTTCCCGGGAAAAGTTCCCTTAAATTATTGATGGACGATGTTAAAGATTGTAATTTGGTTATGAATACTTCCGAAGAATTGATAGTGATTATGAAATAAAGGAGTGATTATGAAAATAAGGATATTGAATTGATAGTGATTATGAAATAAAGGATATTGCCCGCTGTAGACAATGTTGGAGGATCCTTTAAATGTAGTTGTTTTTGCACATTTTACGGTTTGAAGATATTTAAACCATGGTAAATTCGGTACACGTACTCAAGTTCGACACGCACTGTAGTTCGTCTGTCGTCACTTATACTGTAGTTCGACAAACCCTAAGATTCGACTCTGTCGAACTCGAACCAAAGTGCTCTATCTAGACTCAAGTTCGACACTCACTTAAGTTCGACAAGATAACTTCGACTGTCGGACTAGAGTTTTGAAATCTCCAATATCAAGCAACGATCCGTTATGAGCTTGAAATCTATTCGTTTGTTTGTTCTCCGCTTGTCTCATGCTGTTCAATTATGTTTGAATGTAATTTCTATAATCCACATCCAGGGACATTAATTATTTGACCTCATACTCAATTGTTAGTTAGCAGAGTTGTAGGCTTAACGGAGAGATAAAAGAGTAACGTGGTAACTCTTACTTCGTTTTATAGATCTAGACTGTAGAGTATATGCTATATAAATACAAGGGTCGACCGAGTCCTCGGCCTCAGTTTTACCGAGGAATAGCGATTTTGCCTCGGTCAGGAGGACAATTCCTCGGTTTGCCTCTGTTTTTATCAAAGACCGTCGTATACATTTCTAACACATACCACATTTTATGTATTGTCACAAATGACTAGTAGTAGTAAGCGAGTACCGGAGACCAGTCCAGAGATTTGGCTGCTGAACCGGAAACCGTCTGATATCAATCTATTTTCCTTTTAATACCAATAGTGTTAACCTATAATGGACCCAAATTTTTACTTTTATTTCAAACTGTTACAAAAATCTAGTTCTTTGAAGCACTGAGCTATGTTAATTTATATTGCAGATGAATTTTAGTTTTGTTCTACATTAATATTGGGATACCAATAATACGAGTTTGAGTTATATGTGGTGAGTTTTGTAAATCGTAAATATCGTGACTAAAATTCTGGCTTTACTGATTGAATTTGGAATATGTTTTCTGATTAAAATGCCGGATTAACTTATTTAATTTGAAGGATGCTTTCTCGTTTTATCCAAGTATCGACATTTCAAAAATAATCAATCTACCGAGACTTCAGTGTTCATACACTAAGGCCGGGGTCCCTATAATAAGAATAAGAAGGAGGAAGTGTTGCTAGTTAGAAAATTGTAAAAAGTAAGGGTTTAGCTTTCCTGTTAACGATCACGTCATCAACGAATTTGACATGTAACGTCAAATAGTCTAGAACCTTCTAAAATGACTCTACCGTACACGCGGTAACAATTTAGTACTGAATCTACTGCCCCGCGCACGCGAGTTCTTCTCGTACAGTTGCACCTGAGATTTCTGGCGAATCTCGCAATTCGGATGACACCCACTATAGTGAAGCGACAGTGGGGGTCACCACGTGATACAAGATCCGTTATGATCGACAACTTCAGAGAATTGTAGATGATTAAGACAACTACAGCAACCCTATGGATTTCCTTAAAGCTATCGGAAATTTGACTATGCTTTAGATTTGATTCTGTGATATTGTATTATATTGAATTAATTTATAACATTTAAGTAACATTGAAACTATTGTCCAATTTATCGACATCAAATGAAAATAAACTGTGGTAGTAAACTATGGCTCAGATCATATCTCAAATTGGACATGTTACGTATACAATTTAGCAAGTAACAGTTTAGATCATGTCTCTAATTGGAAATGTGTCGTATTGAAATCAGGTCACAATTTCGGACAGATGTCGTTTTTTTCTGGTACCCTGATTCGGACAGATGTCGCTGTCGGACAGATGTCGCTGTCGGACAGGAGTCGTGTTACCATCGTGCAGTACCCTCTATATACTAATATATATAATTATATAGCTGGTTACTCCTTCATAGCTTCATGAATTAGTCTAGTCTACAGTGCAGATGATTGAACCCCCCCTCCGTTATACTTATCAGTTTTACAAATAGCTATTCTGTCAACATTACACTAGCGTAATCATTTGGAAAATTTGGGTTCAGTTGTCGTTTTGGGATTTACGCTGATTGGGCACCCAATTAAGCTGATTGGGTGCCCTGTTAACTGTGTGGGAACTAGGTTCAATTGGGTTCAGTCGTCGCTCACCCTTATAAAGAACGTGATATTTGGCCCTCGAGAGTGCGCAAATTTGGTTCTCAGATTTAAAGAAAAATGCACAGTTTGTCGCGGAGAACTGAAAAATCGCGATTTGTAGCGGAGAATGGGAAAAATCGCGATTCCGCACGTCCGCGATTTCCCTTTGACCTTGGTCTGTACGGATCAGTTCACAACGACGATACCTAAGTTTTTTTACAGCTTGTGTATACCACTTAACTCGGCCATCAATCCTGTTGTATAATTTGCTAGAAATGAGGAACTTAGAATTTTTATCATAAACAAGTCGTTTTGTGGCAGAGACAGTATTAATGTAGGAACGAGGAGCGAGTCGAGTAAGACTCCTTCACGTCCAGTTCCAGCTGTTGTTGTGTATCGTAATGAGGATCCTCAGCCGGGTGGGGGAGTGAGGCTCAAAGAGGTTTTAAGTGTTCCCAAACCAGCTACTTCCTCAACAGAGTAATTTCAGTGCTATTTATTTAACTAGAATAAGTTGAGAATCAATTTTTAGCGTTATAAACAAGTATCTCACAGTCACAGCACGATACTATTACTTAAATTTAGACAGTGATTAACTTACTGGGCGGCGCTCAGCCTGTCATTCCGCCGAATCTTTATTCATAATAGCCTGGGGTCCCCAGGTAATATATATAATAATATAATGATTAACTCGAATACTGACGATTGAGATTGATCGACTGAGAAGGATTCAAATTTTAGAAATTTGTTTTGTTTTATTAATTTTGTGTAGCTTAGAATATATACTTTAATGAAGGGAATTATTTAATGTTTAGTTTTATTTTTCAGACGATTAAATGTTTGAACACTGAACAGCGATTTTTTTAAAAACGCATATGTATTATTTTGTTTTTTAATCTGCTGACTGTTGGATGTAAATTTGTTATGTTAACAAAGTTTTATGTTGTAACATAAACTCACCTATATAGTACGTTTGCGTGAGATGCTTGGGTTTTATTTTCTCCATGATTGTTTTAATGTAATCAGTTTGTCACAAATTCTAACCGAACAACTCCCCTGCACATCATGTCAGCGCCATCTTAAGAGACACTCATTCTCACAGCGTCCTTTCATTTCATACATTCTTTTAATCCATTTCCATCTTTTATAATTATAGGTTGTATAAGTTTTCATTTAATCAATTCGATAATGACATCAAACAACTGAAATATGAGCCATGGTGGTGTAATAAAATTCTCGTGGGCTTTGGGTCGGTGGTATCGGTGGGAAACATGAATGTAAAATGACGCTTATAAAGCAATGATCCTAAATCACCAGCATGTTGATGTACCAGAATAAAGAACATTCTTATATACAAATGATGTGTCCCCGTATCCAATTTCAATCAAACTAGCATCATCGTTGGTGAAGTTTTACTGGAGGAAAGGCGCATGTTTAAAGATATTGTTTATCGATTAGATCAAGTTAACGATTAGTAAGCGACAAGTTGAGATCATTTTACGGTGACATCTAAAGTAAATTGATGTGTAAACCATAATTAAAGATAGGTATAACTGTATAAGATATAAGATTAACACAAAGAATCGCTTCATAAAGTTAAATCTCTAAATTATCTTCGAAATTGATCAACCTTCATATTAGTTAGTTCCAATGTTACTGAGGATATAAATTATAAAATAAGTTGCAATATGCGCCTCATCATAATTATCATTTCCCGAGACATATCTGAATGTTAAACGAGGTGGCGCAAAACTGTTTTAGGGAAATCTTACTTGATAAAATCACCATTGTAATCAGTTGCAACAAGAACAATTAATCTATTCGTAGTGATACTTTTCCAGAAACTTTGCTATCTGCCATGCTTATAAGTTATTAATATCACTAATCAGTGATAAGAAAAACATTGGTCACTCATTGGACTTTTGGATGCTCTTAAGTTTATGATGAGTCAATACCGCTTCAGCTCAATCTGATGAGATTCTTTCCCTTAGCTCCATATTCTGTGAAACGAAGGAGAAGTTGTCTTCACACGACATATCGTAGAAGACTGTTTCAGACCCTCTCCTTTGATCTTGATCTGAACATGTCCGTCTTTGAAGGAAAAGATCCACTGAGTGCACTCGTCCCAATGACACATCCTCTCTAAAGCTCTTGGTCTGTAACATCCAATACATCCTGTCAGCACCACACTCTCGCGAGTCCAGTGGAACATTCCTAACATGTTTCCAGCTTCATCAAACAGCGCGATAGAACTGTAATAGAGCCTCTTGATAGTAGAGCGAACTTCGATGTCCTGGTCTGGATAAGATGTTATACTCTGCTTTATGGTATGAGACAAGTTGGGACAGTATCCACATTCTCCATTCCAGCAGGAGCAAGGAGGGTGCTTTTCTGAAATATGAGAGTGAGCTTGGTATTTACTGCTATGTTATTACAATCTCCTCATGTTCTGTAATTGCGGAATATGATTATGGAAAGAATGATTTATAACAATAATAAAACTTAAACAGGAGGAAATTGTGACAGTTTCAGTATTCCAAATTCAGATCATAACCATATTATATTTTACCCAAGTTATGTGGTGAAGTGTTTTCTTCTTCAATCTCCTGCTTGTAGTCCGCTCCTTTATATAGAGGGGTAACGTTATCACAGGATCCGTTTTTAGACTGAGTTCTTACGTCGCATTCTACAGAGCACTTAGACCAATCTCCATAGTCACTCCACCCGCCGTCGACGTAAAATGATGTGGACTCCACAAGAAGGCCCACGGAGCCTACATATAATTTACTGTTTAAGATTTAATTAGAAATAGCAGAATAAAACTACGCCTACTGAAATTCAGTTATTAATTAGCTTAAAACACAACATAATCATTTCATTTGATTTAAATCATTTTTACGACCTAAATTTGGCTTCATAAATGGGAAATTTTGAGAGCAATGGGCCAAAATTTATTAATTCATTGAGTATTACCATGATAAGAGTAATCAGCGCGAGCGAATGGTGTTGTAGCATTTAATTTCATTCCATCTGGATAGTCAGTGTACGGAGCAGGTGGCTGAAAGATAAATCAGATTTGACCTCGTGAATGAGAAATTTTGAGGGCGATGTGACAAGATTGATGGTGACATAACAAGAATAAGATTGATGGTGATAGTGAGGCATTGAAAAACAATTTTACATTTCTCAACTATGTCAACTCGGGAACTGGGGGATGATGATTAATCACTCTACACTCGACTGTCACGTGACTTTTTCAACCCCTTCTCTAGCTGGTCCTGAACGACTATTCGAAAATTTAACCCTGTAATCTGATCCCAACCCTAACCCTAACCCAATCCTTAACAAAAGCATATGCTGAAACCCTAACCCTATCGAGAAATTAGACTAACTTCCTTTTACGGTCATATCACGTGATCAAGACAGTTTTTCGCCAATATCTCGTCAGGGGAGCATTTTAACCCTATGTCATGGGGGGTGATTCGGAATCAGCGTCCAAAAATACATCGATTGAAGTCGGTTTCAACTGTAGGGGACCCTTTTAGAACAATCTCGAAGATCGACTGTAGAGTGATTTAGCACGCTCGGGAACTGGGCAAGGTGATATACAGGGACCACCAGTCTTCAACTTTTGTTTGAATTTTTCGACATACCTTATGGAACTAAACAAAGTCATTAGCAAGGGGGCTTTATTACAGCTGCCAGCCCCCGGGGTAGAAGAGAAACATCTCTTGGACACTGATTACGCTGATGACATGGCCATGTTAGATAACCCAAAAGAGGGGCTGCAGGAAACCACTGACCTTCTCTGCAAATACAGTGCCTATGCGGGTCTGAAGATTAATGCTGGCAAAACACAGAGCATGGTTGTCAGCAAAAGTGCATCGCAGAGGCCGTATTCTAAAGACGACACTATGGACATCAATGTGGAAGGTCTCCCAATACAGCAGGTCAGCAATTTCACTTACTTGGGTGCAATCATCAGTGCGAATGGAACAATTGACAAGGAACTATCAGCTCGAATTCAAAAGGCCTCTGGGGCATTCTATCAGCTTAGCAGTATATGGTACAGTCGCAGCATTAAGACTCCAACTAAAATCAGGATTTACAAAGCGGCTGTGCTCACTATACTGCTTTATGGAAGTGAGGTATGGAATACCACACAGACGCAGATGAAAAGATTTGAGGTGTTCCATCATAGATGTCTGAGGAGAATCCTGAAAATCAAATGGTTTTATCATGTATCTAATGCTGATGTACTTAAGCGGGCTAACATCGCCCCTGTTGATACTTTCGTACGAGCAGCTAGACTCCGATGGTTTGGCCATGTGGTGAGGATGCCAGAAGAAAGAATACCCAACTATCTTCTGCACTGGATCCCAAAGCATGGTAAAAGGTCAAGAGGTAGACCTCGGAAAAACTGGTTTTCATGTGTCCGGAAGGATGCAGCAATCTTCACAGGTGTCGATAACAGTGGCGTAACGTTGCCTGTTGGCGCCCCCCTGCAGAAAAAAGCGCCCCCCTGTTGGCGCCCCCTCCCCTTTTGGTGCCCCTCCCTAAAATTAAACAAATTAGGTGATTTTAAAGAATACGCCGGTAAAATCTCTAAAAAAGTGTGTATCTAGAGCAAAACGCGCAGTTTTGCTAGTACTTTAGTTAAGTTTTCGAAATTGTCCCACATTCAAACGACGATTTGGCGCCCCCCTAAGACGGCGCCCCCCTGCACAGCGGGGTCAGCAGGGCCTTTCGTTACGCCACTGGTCGATAACATCACGATAGAAGATGCAGAACAACAAGCTACATACAGGGTTCACTGGAGAGGTCTAATACACCGGAGAAAGGAGTTACTATGTGGTGCAGGCCACTCCAACGACTAGGAGGAGACCTTTTCAAGTACAAGTACAAGTGAGTACAACTATTACATATTACGGTTACTCGTTATTACCGTAGTTATCGGTAGATAAGTACACAAAGAAGCTCCATCGCTGCTGAAGGTATTCTCTCCACATTGCTGACATCCAGTGTCAGTCATGTAGTCTCCAGCGGAGCATGGGGCTGAAATATAAATCGCATTTTGACATCATGAGTGAACATTTTTGAGAGCAAAGAACCCAAAGGACCACAATAAAATGATCGATTTTATGACATGAAAAATTGTTAATATCAATCCTTGCTTCAACAAAATCCTCTTATTCGCTTTTATATTACCGTAATAACAATTTTCGGCAGATGTTGACCCAGCATTCGAAAACTTTCCATTTGGACAGTCAATGCACGAAGAAGCTCTATCGCTGCTGAAGGTATTCTCTCCACATTGCTGACATCCAGTGTCAGTCATGTAGTCTCCAGCGGAGCATGGGGCTGAAATATAAATCGCATTTTGACATCATGAGTGAACATTTTTGAGAGCAAAGAACCCAAAGGACCACAATAAAATGATCGATTTTATGACATGAAAAATTGTTAATATCAATCCTTGCTTCAACAAAATCCTCTTATTCGCTTTTATATTACCGTAATAACAATTTTCGGCAGATGTTGACCCAGCATTCGAAAACTTTCCATTTGGACAGTCAATGCACGAAGAAGCTCTATCGCTGCTGAAGGTATTCTCTCCACATTGCTGACATCCAGTGTCAGTCATGTAGTCTCCAGCGGAGCATGGGGCTGAAATATAAATCGCATTTTGACATCATGAGTGAACATTTTTGAGAGCAAAGAACCCAAAGGACCACAATAAAATGATCGATTTTATGACATGAAAAATTGTTAATATCAATCCTTGCTTCAACAAAATCCTCTTATTCGCTTTTATATTACCGTAATAACAATTTTCGGCAGATGTTGACCCAGCATTCGAAAACTTTCCATTTGGACAGTCAATGCAGGAAGAAGCTCTATCGCTGCTGAAGGTATTCTCTCCACATTGCTGACATCCAGTGTCAGTCATGTAGTCTCCAGCGGAGCATGGGGCTGAAATATAAATCGCATTTTGACATCATGAGTGAACATTTTTGAGAGCAAAGAACCCAAAGGACCACAATAAAATGATCGATTTTATGACATGAAAAATTGTTAATATCAATCCTTGCTTCAACAAAATCCTCTTATTCGCTTTTATATTACCGTAATAACAATTTTCGGCAGATGTTGACCCAGCATTCGAAAACTTTCCATTTGGACAGTCAATGCACGAAGAAGCTCTATCGCTGCTGAAGGTATTCTCTCCACATTGCTGACATCCAGTGTCAGTCATGTAGTCTCCAGCGGAGCATGGGGCTGAAATATAAATCGCATTTTGACATCATGAGTGAACATTTTTGAGAGCAAAGAACCCAAAGGACCACAATAAAATGATCGATTTTATGACATGAAAAATTGTTAATATCAATCCTTGCTTCAACAAAATCCTCTTATTCGCTTTTATATTACCGTAATAACAATTTTCGGCAGATGTTGACCCAGCATTCGAAAACTTTCCATTTGGACAGTCAATGCACGAAGAAGCTCTATCGCTGCTGAAGGTATTCTCTCCACATTGCTGACATCCAGTGTCAGTCATGTAGTCTCCAGCCGAACAAATCACTGAAAACAAGCTGAATGGAGAAATGAGGCATGTCCTATATTTAATATAATGGGAATAATTGGTAAGATGTGAAGTTGTACTGAAGCGTTTTCTGAAGTTTCATGTATTGTTTCTTTCAATTCGTATAAGGTTTTACTCGATCATAGCACGGCAATAAAATTAACCAAACATTTTTCTAATTAATAAACTAACCTGGTACTCTTAGTCCAAGAGAAGAACAAGTGTATATTCCCGGTTGTGGGTCACAAAATGTGTCGCATTGACCATCTGGATAGTAGTTAGATTGGCAGTCTTGACAATCGGATCCCACTTTCTTTCCAACACAGGTCTTCCTTCCGTTAGAATCACAGGTGTAGCTTCCACTGACAGGCTTACAGTATGTGCTACACTGTGACCCGTAGTAGTTTAGTATGCAATCAGCACAGCCTGTGCCAGTGAATCCAGGGTTGCAACTTAACAGTCTGTAGTACACTGTTAACTGTCCACCACCACTACGATAAGTTGTTGAATAACTATGACCAATGATGGTGTTTTCAAATGTGAGAGCCATATTGCTCATGGTTCTAATATGGTCGTCATATTTGACATCCTTGTCCCATACCTCCATGGAGAGATACACATTCAAGTTGGATGGAAGGTCCACTGTTGCTGTGACAGATGGGTAGTATGTTTGGCTATCTTGTGTATAACTGGTTGAGCCTCTGTGGAACAGCACATTACCATCGGAACTCTCTTTTATTTTAACACTTCTAAAAAAGAAATCACAATAAGACCACCGCCTGTCACAATCATCATATGAGTCGTAATACTTGTAGAACTTTATTTCCCCCCTTGCTGCACAATCCACTGTTTCCTGTAAGGAATTGAACAGCTTGATGTTACTAATGTTATCTAAAGATATATCCAGAGAAACGGTCAAGCTTTTACATCGATTCCATTGGTTGGCCCATAGATAACAGTATTAACACTGTAAAACTGTAAAACTGTCTCTACTTAGCTTATACAATTTTTAGGTAAAGCTATAAACATGAGAGATATAACTGATATAAATGTGACATCAATCGACACAATATACTGAGCCATTTTATTACCCAATGGACAGTGGACACAAAGAAATCCAATGTGTTTAATAAAACTCAGTAATATCTTAGAAGAATTTAAACAATCTTTATACACATACCAAATCCAATCTTAAAATCAGTGCAGCAGCCAGAAGAAGGAATTTTCTGCCCATTTTTTCTTCGAATGGCCAGAGTTTGACCGCGTCACCACGAGTAACTTTGATTATATTTATAATTTAAGTATATTTTAATTAAAGAAGTGCTTACGATCAAATTGAGATTAACTAAACAGAAAGTGTTTCAACAGCCAACATCAAAAAGTTGCGTGGCAAAACGAGGAACAAAGATCGAAAGTTAGATTTTGCTACAGTTTCTCTGTCGAGAGATGACACCTGTTGAGCGTGATTGTACGATTAGTTTTGATTGAACTGGTGAAAAACGAAATGGCAACGATAACTGAATACTTATAGAGGATTTCATAGACCATATTGAATCTGTAAAAATCATGATTAGTTACCACCGCAGAGGATATTTAAAAACCTTATAATCATATTTGTGACTCGTGATTGGAGTAATTCATCCGTAAATGCTAAATTTCATTCATTCCTTGTCCGACTTATTAAATCGTCTCATCTCATCGGGTAATACCACTCACCTGACCCAGAGATTATACCAGGCGGACCTCACACCTGGCAACAACAAAACAAACCTATTCAACACCGAGACAGGAGTATTACTTTAATAAATCGAACTAATTATCGAGTTCTGAGAAATCTCGAAAGTTGAATATTTGGTTTTGTTGGATCTGTGCCATGCAAAATGGTCCACAGGAAATCCCTCAGACCAAGCCCAAGCCAATTGAATTATTTAAAAATTTTGCAACACGAAATTATCCAAGGGTATGAATACCAAGTTGGAATGACATCAACGACATCCTTACAAAGTTACAACAATACAACTATTACGATTCAAGTGTGGTAGTTATTCAAATGGAAGTTTTGGAGGAGAAGTATGCCAACGACGTGAAGAATAACGGTAGTCTATCGAAGCGTGAGAATTATTTAACGTTTTAATGTAATTTATTAATGTGGTTGAGTTTGTAATATTTATATTATATATAACATGATAATATTAAGTCCTAGTTAATTTGCAGTTCTTCATAGAATTTGGAGTGGAGTTGGGGATGGAATTTGTGATGGAATTTTATATGAAATTCCATATGGAATTGCACGTAGAAGGGTCGAACTTCTTAGACGTCAATCTCACAAGTGAAATTCTGTACATAATTATAAACTTTAAAAGGTGAAATCATGAACAACTGTTTGGCAAATATCATACGTACAAGCAATAATAATACGTACAATAGCAATTTGATCTACCTACCCAGTTAAACATTTGGGCATACATAAAACATAAAACGGATCGTGAATCGTGATGCCAGTTTCGTGTTTAAGGGTCCAGCTGGCGCCGTTAATTCCATATATTATACCACCGATGAATTCTATCATTCAGTTATAGTATCATGATATTATGGTTCCGATAAAGTTCGGATGGCTATCCCGGACCCTGGTAACAGAAGAAGGCCAAGTATAGGGTGTAAAAACTAAAAGAGAGAAGGTACTTACATCCTCCAAGTTGAAGTCAAATCCAGTGAAAGAGACGTAATCAAAGGAAGGCAGAAGAATACCATTCTTGACAAGAGCATTGACGAATGGGATTATGGGCACTATCCGTCGTGGAGTAGAGTCCGCGGCGGAGCCGCCGGACTCCGAGCGGACTCCGGTGGAGCCGCCGGACTCCGAGCGGACTCCGGCGGTGCTCCGCCAAAATGTATTTCGTTTGGACTCGAATACATTTTGGCGGACTCCGAGCGGACTTTAAAGTCCGCCGCGGACTCCGAGCGGCTCCGCGGCGGGTCGGCGGAGTGTCCGCCGCGGACTAAGCCACTAGGCGGACTCCGGTCCGCCGCGGACTCCGGCGGAGTGGTCGGCGGACTCCGGCGGACCTCTCTGCCGGACTTGAATCCGGCGGAGTCCGGCGGAGCTTGGCGGAGTCCACCGGGCTCGGTGGATTCCGCTCGGAGTCCACCGGCTTCCAACAGAGTCCACTGACTTCCGACTTCCGACTTCTGACTTCCGACCCTCGGCTAAATTTGTCACGTGACATACAACATAGCATTTTGCGATATTGTGGTCAGATGAAAAGGTCGCTAGTGATAAACCTTAACCATTACCCTCGCAATGTCAATAGTGTACAACTCTAGTCCTAACTTTGACCCTATAATGTATATACGTTGACCCTAACCCTCCACTAAACCGTCAGCAGCGAAATATCAATGTCATTAACTGGTCACGTGACCAAAACAATTTTTGTCATATTATCTCATATAGGGAAGCGTTTTTAGTTTTACCCTACAGTACGTTGCATGTGGCGTCATTCGGCTTACCTGGGGACCCCAGGCTATTATGTATCGTATCATTTTGCATATTTTGCAGACGCGGTCAATCAAATTAATATCAATTCCTTTTTGTTGGGAAAGAGAGACACTGGCAGCGGTCCACTCTACCCATGATTATGGGTTTTGGTCAAATTTGTTTCTCTTTAATACAATTCACCTGTTACAACAACTTCAGCTACATTTATGTTCCCTATACTCTTACTTAGCGTTACAGTGACCCCGTCAGTGTCACAGATCAGTGTGTAGATCTGGTCTGCCTGCTCTAGTCCGTATGTTAGTTGGAGTGTCCCGCAGGAGCTCTGTTTTACCTCTCCTTGGTACACTGACACATCTACTTCGTTATGACCATCCACACACATCTTAAAATTAGCTTCATTCTCTGCACACCATTGACTTTCAGGACGGTTTTGGTACCAGTCGGTATAAAATTGGTGGTAGATAAGGACCTTGTGGATAAAGTAGGTTCCATCAAACTCTAACTTTATCCAGCCTGCTCCGTTATCAGTGACAGTAGCTGCTACATTTGCGGGAGGCACATGTTTTGGCAATATTCCACCATGCAAAGCCAACTTTCGTGAACGTTTTAATATGGGCACGTGATTTCCTGTTCCCGTATTTCTTTTAAAGTGCGGCAATTTTCAGAAAAAAATTCGTACGCGAATTTAATTCGAATAATACGTTTAGTGCGAATTTAAGAGCATTGGTTTGTGGTTGTTGCTATCCAGCGCTAGTTGTCGACTAGCGCTGGATAACGCTGGTTATGCGACATTGTCGCACCCGACGGTTTGTCGGATAGTCTGGATAGTTGTCGACAATAGTTGTCGACAACTAGCGCTGGATAGCGACAACTAGCGCTGATATCGACAACTAGCGCTGGATTGCGACAATTATCGAAAATTTATATTTTGCGCTGAATATCTTTTACCAGCGCTGGATAACGACAACTAGCGGCTGATAAACGACGGCTTGAATGTGTCAGTGAGGTAGATTGGGGTTTGCGGTAAATCTGCGGGGGGGGGGGCAATGGCATAAATGGAGAAAATGGAGAATTACTCATAGGTTTTTCCATTTTCTCCATAGAAATAGTCTCCACTTTATGCCATTTTATGCCATTGAAAACCTGAAAAATTTAGAATTTCGAGAAAAATTATCTTAAAAAAAGATATTTTCGGCCAATAATGAACAGAGTATCACGAAACATGGAGAAAAGTGGTTTTCAGAAAAACCTTGAAAAATGTTGACTTAGAAAATGTTCGGTCCGAGTCATTTTCGATACGTACCTCCCGTATCGAGAGCTCCCGATTCCGAGCTCGTGTTGCAAAGGGGAGGCCTGCCTTCCGAGATCGCATTACTTCGAGTCCAAAATTGTGTATCGAGGGGAAGGTGTGGACTTCGAAAAACCGAAAAAATATTTTCGCCAAATAATGAACAGAGTAGCATGAAACGTGGAGAAATCGGTTTTCAGAAAAATTTTGACTCGATACGAAAGGTACGTATCGAGAATGACTCGGGCCGAAAATTTTCTAAGTCAAAATTTTTCAAAGTTTTTCTAAAAACCACTTTTCTCCACGTTTCATGCTACCCTCTTCATTATAAGTCGAAAATATTTTTTTGGTTTTTCGGTTTATCGAAGTCTGCACCTACCCCTCGATACACAAATTTGGACTCGAGGCTTCCCCTGGTAATGCGATCTCGGAAGGCAGGCCTCCCCTTTGCAGTGCGAGCTTGTTTCGACTGTCGAGGATGTAGGTCGCACTTCTCAGTGCCTATTACTCTCCCCTATTACTCGCTCCTGCTGTAGCCTGTAGAAATAAGTTTACACTAGGCTTGAGTAATTATGAGTTTGCCTGAAGTGTGCCTCTACTAACCTAGTATAAGCATCTAGTAGCCTACTATGAGCTTTCATAAGCTTGTTACGCCCCTATCAGAATGAAACCAAACACCCCCTCCCCTCGGCTGATTATGTGATATGTGAACGACCCCTTATTATATAATAATTTATCATGCCATAGCATAGGCATTAGTATCACATTAGGGCATGATCACTTTTTCGATCTTCGGCTTCCTCGTTCACATCTTCGAAGTTATTATTTACCTCCACATCTTGTTAATTGTTTACGCTGAAATGCAGGATTGGACCGAGGTGGTCGAATACAAAATTGTTTTTAAAAAGCAGGTAATACTGATATGATGCTTAAAGCATGGAATATTTAATTCACGATAACCCATTTGAGGAAGATCACCTGTGAAGTGTGATATGATCATCAAATCTGGTCATATTTCGTATCTG